AACTGATGGGCTGAGATAAAGACAGTTTAATAGGTCAAGCAAAAGCCATGCATATGAGCAAAGCAAAACAAGGGATTCATTCACTGCTTCCCATGGGCAGGCAGATGTTCAACCATCCCCAGGAAAGCAGGGATGCATCACACTTAACAGTGACTTGGGAAGGCAAATGCCATTACTCCAAACATCCTCCCCTTTCTCCTTCCTCCCCAGCTATATACGATGCCATATGGCCTGGAATATCCCTTTAGTCTGTTGGGGTCAGCCATCCCAGCTGTGTCCCCTCCCATCTCTGGTGGGATGGGGTGAGAGGCTGAAAAGGCCTTGACTTTGTATAAACACTGCTCAACAGTGATGAAAACATCCCTGTGTTATCAGCACTGTTTCCAGCACAAATCCAAAACGCAGGTCTATGCCAGCTCCCATGAAGAAAATTACCTACCTGGGCCAAAAGCAGCAGAGTGAGATGGCCCAGGAAGGACAAGAGGAAGGCCAGTGCCACTACTGCTGGTTGTACAGTGTGGGGCCCTCCCAGGAACGCATCCCTGGGGCAGGGCCTTTGCAAGGAAAACTCAATCCTGCAATAGGGCTTGTTAAATGCATTTCTACACAGGGAGTAGCCCGAGCTGGGCACCAAGCATAGCCAGGTCACAAACCAGGAGTGTGGCAGGACAGACAAGGAGCAGCATGGTTTCTTCAGTAGCTTTCACAGTGATGCTGCCCATCCATCTGGCTGCAGGGGTATACGGAAGAGGGATTTGTGATGGTGCCACAAAAAAGCATGGACTGTCACCTACAAAGAAGGGAAAGCACTTTAGATTTCTGGGGTGATTTGAGAGAACTAAACCCTGAAGGTATTTATGCTGCAAGGGTGTTGCTGTACTTAGCTCCCTGCATAGGGCTGCCTAAGGCACCAAGGGACATCTCTGGATATCACCCGGCACATGCCCCAAAGGAGGGGAGTGGACATAGCTTCTCAAGCACCCCAAAGCAAGAGTAGCTCCTTCTCCCAGGAGAAAATCACTCTATCCTTTCCCTCCTTATCACCTTTCCAAGAAAACAGGTACATTAGATTTGTCTGATCTCACCCATCTGCTTCCTGTTGAGAGAAATAGACAAAAATTGCACATCAATATATTCTGCTACTATATCCATACACATCTGGCATCTTAAATTTTTTTCCTCACATGGCCTTCTTCACTTTTTCCTTTTTTCCTTTTATTCACGGAAGACCTTTTGGCTCCTCATCCAAAGACTAGAGGAGAAAAGCAAGTAAAGGCAAAAGGAATGCTGTACTTGAAGATGGGTCACACATTGCATTTTTATTGCTGCTAATTCTTCAAGAAAATAAAAGGCACCTGGCAAGAGACCATGGCACAATGATGAGAAATGTCATCGTGTAACAGTAATCAGAGACCTGAAGGAGATACACCTGGAAGGGGACACATGCCATTTCCTGTCACAGGATTGACAACTATTTGTACTTCCAAGGCAGTACAGGGAGACAGTAAACTTCATTGCTGCATTAGTATCTTCTGTATATGTAGGCCTGCTTAATAAACAAAATCTGTTTGACCCAACAGACAGCTAAGCACCATACAGCCATTCATTCACTGCCAGCACTGTGGGGTATGGGTATCAAAATAAAATGTACAATTTGTGGGCTGAGATAAAGGCAGCTTAAAGAAACAGAAAAGGAAGGGGAAATACTATAATGATAAAAGGATATACAATGAAAGTGACGGACCATTGCTCGCCTCCAGCTAGCTGCTGCACAGCCAGCCCTCTCGTCATCTCCCCCAGATTTTTGTTCAGCATGATGCCATATGATATGGGATATACCTACAGCAAGTTTGGGTCAGTTGTCTCAGCAGCATCCCCTCCCATCTTCTTGCATACCCCCAGCCTACTCTCTGGCAGGGCAGTATGAGAAGCTGAATAATCCTTGACTTTGTATAAGCACTGCTCAGCAACAACTAAAACATCAGCGTGTTATCAACATTATTCTCACCCTAAATCCCAAACACAGCACTATGCCAGCTACTATGAAGAAAATTAGCTACTACTCCCTCAGAAACGAGGACAATAATGGTAAATGTTAAATGGCAATAGTAGTAATCATTACAAATACTAAACGTTAACTATAATTTCTTGCCTTTTGGAAGCTGCAATACTTTTCCACCAAATGGCCCTGGAAACAGCTTTGATAGAACCTGCAGTGAAAAGCTGGAGGCAGGAGAGGGCTCTTCCCTGTACTCTTGGAAGATGCATCCTGCTTTCACTTTCAGGGCTGAAATATCTCTGCCCATCACAGAAACCACAGGAAAGGCTCTGAAGAGACAAAGGACAAACCTCAGCCAGTACATGTTTACAAAGCAATGCCAGGCACAGCCTGGGGAGCAGGGAAGGGCTGATGGTTTGCTCTTTCCACAGCAACTGCAGCCCCAGCCCACATGCGGAGCCAGCTTTGGGTGTCTGGGTTATGTTAGTGGAGTTTTGATGGAGAGGTGGGATATTTGAGCTCTTTTTTTTTCTCTTGGCAGAGCCTAATGCGGTACATGGGAGGGAAAGCCCTGTCTGTATTCAGAGCAGCCTCTCTCAGGTGGATTAGAAACCTGTGGGCATGGTCTAATCAGCCTTCGCAGTGTTTTGGAGTTGGCTTTGAGTTTACAACACAAACAACTGTGGCTGCTATAAGGTCAGAGATCTGCCTCTCTGGAGCAGGGGATGCCCAGGGCCAGATTTAGGCCCTGCTGCCATTTAATCCTCTTTCTTTTGGCCTTCAGACCTTTCTAATGTAGCATCTCCTTCCCTGTTGCTTTCCACATTGCTCAAGGAGGTGACCTTTTCCCTGCCTCTCTGGAAGAAGACTTGGAGTGAATTTGTCTGCATTCCCTGATCCACCAGTTTCTTTGCTTTCTGAGATCTCCCTGAGCAACTTCCTAGTCCTCTGGACAATGTCCCTCAGTGTTAGGCAGGACCAGGCTTGTCCTGGTTCAAGTCTTCCTTCTGTGTTGTGGATGCCCTGGTCTCGTGGGGAGCAAAGAGCAGAAAGTCACTGGGATTCCAGCGCTGTCCCGAGTCATGCAGTCCTGTGACACAGTTATGGTATCGGCACGAGAGGAATCACCCATAACCTGAGATAGAAAGATGCAAGGATGAAATATGAAGTGCAGGAGGATGGCGACAATGTGTTTGGGACTGGGCTGAACATCACAGGATCACAACCAACAAGGGGGAAGTCAGCTGCGGTGCATCAACACCTCACACGAGTGACAGGGATGAGAAAGAAGAGACCGAGGAACAGCACCTGACGCCTCTGCCCTCTGGTGCCGTTGCCCGCCCCAGCTTGCATCGGCAGGAGAGATAATATCTCCTTCCTCCCCAGATGCGCACCTCTCAATCCTTCGGCTGCTCTAGCAGCTCTCACCTCTCAGTTCCCAACAGGAGTGGGAGAGCTCGGCAGCCTCTCGGCGAAACCGGAGTTGAGAAAGGGTCCCACCTCTGGCCCCTCGCCGCCGCCCGGCACCGCGGCTCTGGCAGCGCTCCTGGGACTCTCGGCGGTGGCGAGCTGCTGAAGGGCAGCGAGGGCGGCCGTGCCCGGGGCTCGGAGCACCTCCAGCGGGCAAGGGCGGGCTCCTCGCACGGCGGCCGTGCAACAAGTCCCGGCGCCGGGAGCGGGAGCACATCCCGCCGTGCGCCTCCGGGAGCCAGCCGGCCCTGCTCCCTCCGAGCCAGCCTCCGGCAGGATGGCGGTCCGGCTGCCCGGCGGGAAGGCCGGGGGTTCGGCCCGGCCCGGTCCGGCTCACAGCCCCGGCCCGCTTCCCGCCCGGCGCCGCTGGCTGCCAGCACAGCCGCTGCCCGGGCCGGGGCAAGGGCAAGGGCAGGGGCGAACCGCAGGCGGGCTCCATCTCAGCACGGGAAAATGCTAAAGAAACGGGATCTTGATCCGTTCTTTCTGCTTTGCTTTTGTCTTCTATTTTTT